TATGAGAAAAGTCGTACATATACACATAACTAAAATCATAATAAACAAATAGTCATAAAGGAAAAATACTAACTTAATAAATAATAAACAGGGAATAAATAATTTATTTGATTATTATATGACGTGTATCCTTTGATTTTATAGATTTTATTATATGTCTGTACACTACATTAAATAATAAAATAATAACTAATATTTATTAAAATAATATAATACATTAGATCATAATTTTATAAGATTAATATTCTGTCAAATTTTTCGCGCATCGCGTGAGTTCTAACACTAGTGCCTTTAACAATAGTTAGAAGACAAAAATAATTTTTTCTTTGAATTGCGTGTTACAATGTGTCATACTAAAGAAAACTTTCTATTTATATAATATGAGAGTTTCAGTCCTAGTATAAGTCTAAAAAAGATAAAAATCTTCTTTTTTCGATAATTGTTAATCCATAATCGACATCGAGCGAGATTCCTCCGTGATATCCAGTTGAGGACTAGTATTACGGCCCTCTATCCGTCATGCATAACCGTTCACCGTATCTCCCGAGGTCTAGAACTTATATTCGGCCCGGGACGCGTCGTTTTACCATGTCCGATGTCGGATATACCATTCACTCTTCCTGGATCTCGATACGAAGGATCTTTGACCTCGATTACAATCTCGCGGATCCGTGCTCCTCCTTCATTCTCTCGTCGGGGAACCGGGTAGACATTGCCCTCCAATTTTACCCTTACATACTTTATTATAAACGATGAAAATCTAAATTAATCAAGTTAATACGTAATGATATAATTCATAATTTCTCTATTGGAGCATATTAGGAATTAGGAAAGAAATAATAAAGGGAAAAAGGCGATGTGTGCTTGTGTAGTAATGTACACGACGACGTGGCATTTAGCGAACCGTGTTCCAAGACTCGGGCATCCTTTTTGAGGAGTTCTCCACTTACAGCCCGAAAGCGTGGGAAACTAGAGAGAGAGAGAGAATGGCGAAGCTTTTATCCACACCTCGTCTCACCTCCATTCACTTCCGCACAGTCACTTCCACTCTCTCCAAATCTTCTTCTTCTCCAATTCACACTTCTCCCACTCGTTCTCTCATATCTCTTCACTTCAGTACTCGTCTCCTCAACCTTCCCTCTGTCGACAATCGTTGCCGAATTCATCGGAATTTCTCCGTTTCAGCCTTCGACACAAAAAACGACGACGTATCGTCGTCTTCCAAAGATGATATTAAGGACGAGCCTGGTACTGAAATCAACGGCAATGATGATAGCGCGAAAAGTAATTCTACCAAGGAAGATCAATATCCGAGCGGAGAATTTGAATTTAAGGAGTACGGTGCTTGGAAGAGGTTAGTAGTGAAGTTCAGAATGCTCTTTGCATTTCCTTGGGAGCGCGTCCGCAAAGGCAGTGTTCTCACTATGAAATTGCGTGGCCAGGTTAACTTCGAAATTTGAATTAATCGTATTGACATTTGACAATGTCCACACGGTTTGGTCATAATAATCATAAGTAACATTTTTTCTCGAAGAAAAGTATTTTCCTGATTAGTTCTGGAGTTCAATTGGATATAGAGTTTATGGGAAGTGAATCAACTTCTAAATGTAGCTAAGTAGAGAGACGAAGGTTGGGGAAGTCACACATTTATTGATTTGGTATAGAATACTTTTATTCTGCTAATGCTTATTTAGTTATTTCTTTTCTGTTTAGTTGAAGTAGTTGAAACTCTTGTACTGTTTGTCATGTCAGATATCTGATCAGTTACAGAGCCGTTTCTCTTCAGGATTATCTCTACCTCAAATTTGTGAGAACTTCATAAAGGCCGCGTATGATCCTCGAATCTCTGGTGTTTTTCTCCACATTGAACCTTTGAGTTGTGGCTGGGGCAAAGTTGAAGAAATTCGGAGGCATATACTGGACTTCAGGAAATCAGGCAAGGCTTCGTCTTTATACTTTTATGGAATGGTGAAAGCTGTACAATGTTCATGTGCTTGTCACTTGATTATATAACTTACTTGGGAACGAGGAAAAATATGACATTTAGTTATATCTGTCGCTGTAAGCTTGTAAGGGTTGAATTTGAACCAAGGAAGAGAAATATTTTAATCCAAGTAGGAACAAAAAAAAATCTAGGACATAATGAATAGATGAAGGTATTCGTATATATAAGCCTTTAGTACTATAGGAACTTTTAGGTTGAGGGACTGGAAGGGAGGAAATATTCTTTGCCCTCTTGGACCAAGACCACAAAATAAGATAAGTGACTATTGGAGATCAATGTCAAAAGTTGTTGTGAACTAATTTGAGAGGTGATGGAAATTTCAAGGTCCCTGGGAGTTGTTTTATCTGGACATTATCAGAATTATGTAAAGTCCAACATACTAGACTCTAAGGCAAGTACGCCTTTCTGTCTTTGTTTATTGCTTTGAAGAACAATAAAGTCACAACGTTTTCCACGTTCGCTATGATTTACTACAAGAAGTGGTCGGTGCTTTCCCCATCTTATCCGTGTGCCTACTAGTCCCAATTCCTCAATGCAAATGAATGGAAAATTCTTGTGCTCATTCTGTATGTCTCATATGTGATGAAGTTTTCAAGTATGACCGGCATCTTGAAGTACGTGCATATTTCAGTGCTTCCTATGTTATGAGATTGGAGTAATGCCATGTCTCAGGTGAGATGAATATTAGACTAGAAACTATCTTATAAGAAATCTAAACTTTCAAGACACTTTTGAAGAGAGAATATTATCAATGCTTGACTGATTAAGTAGCAGTGCTAGAAAAATAATCTTTCTTACCTTTCCAGTAAAAAAAATGCTAAAAGAATAACAATATTACTACCTTATCAAGTCTTAGCATTATATGTACATCTCTTTATTTTTGATCATTATGTAGAAGTATTTTCCTTCATAGTAGCATCTGAGGTAACTGATTGCGCAACAAGTCTAAATTTAAAATGAGTATAATGTTGCATACACTGAAAAGTTACTTGGATTAGTTAAGCTTCCCATGTTGAAAGAGTTCAATATGAGATACTTTTTCTGCAATTAGGAAAAAGAAAGTAAAGAAGAGCATTAATCTTTGTTATTTTTCAGGTAAATTTGTAGTTGGCTATGCACCTGCTTGTGGTGAAAAGGAGTATTACATCGGCTGTGCTTGTCAAGAGCTTTATGCCCCTCCAAGTGCTTACTTTGCCTTGTATGGTCTATCAGTTCAAGCATCATTTTTGGGAGGTTAGTTCTTTAGCTCCCAGCTGATACAAATAGAATCTTGGCGAGACAAGTTTCCCTTAATTATCTCGGAAGTGCTAAATTCTTACTGAATCTTGGATGTATGGAATGCTGGCTGAGCTTCATTTTTGGAATATTGAGTTAGTCATCATTGCAATAATACTTTTTTTATATTCCAATTTATGCAAAAGTGCAAAAAGTAAAAACCTATTTAATTCCAGAGTTACTGGAATTTGCTACCCAGTGTTATTGGAGTTTCAGTGAGTGGGTGAATGCAGACTCAATTGTTTAACAAAAGTGCAAATGTGATCTTAAATTGCTTATGATCACCCCTTAACTGCAGCAAATATGTTGCTCTGCAGGTGTCTTTGAGAAAGTTGGAATTGAGCCACAAGTGCAAAGAATTGGTAGATATAAGAGTGCTGGAGATCAACTAATGCGTAAAAGTATATCTGATGAAAATCGAGAGATGCTAACTGCATTACTTGATAATATCTATGGAAATTGGCTCGAAAAAGTTGCTCTCACTAAAGGTGACTTCAGATTTGAAGTTCATAAATGGAGATATAAAGCTTTTCCAGTGGGGATTTTCATGATCTGATTTTCTTACTTAGGGAAGAAAAAAGAAGACATTGAACATTTCGTCAATNTGGGGTAGTGGTGGTGGTGGTGGGGGGGTTCTTTTCAAATAAATTGGGAATGGTAATGGATTTACTTCTTTTCCACGGAAAGTCGATTCTTAAGATATCATGAAGGGAAAAAAATATAGTCAACTACTAGTATGTGCCATTTAATTGACCATTCTGGTGTAGGTGATTCTAGGATGATTTACCTCTTTCTGCATTAGAAGTTAAATCAAGAATTCAGCTTTTATATATATGATATAAATGTTTTGTTCATGGAATGTTGAGATATTCTCATATTAAATAATACTCCCTCTATTCCAGTTTATATGACACTATTATTTTTTATGTGATCAAACATCTTTTTCTTTGACCACAAAAGTTTCATATATTTTTCAAATGTTTTTATTTATAAAAAAAGTCGTAATTATAGTATTTCTTTATATAGTTTACATTTGTTGCAAATTTTATCTTAAAAAGATTAAGAACTCAATGTCCCAATTGAGATTTCACAATTTGACTCTCATACTCTGAACCCTTCACTCTTTTTGTAACGGAGGGAGTAATCTATTAAACTTTTTCAACATTGTGTCTGCTCTCTTTGCTTGCCAAACTAGGCCTCTGTATGATTCCAACTTTATCGATTGTATCCGAAGGGACCTCGCAAAAGCAGGTCTTCTAATCTGGGACTGGAAATGAAAGCTTAGGATATACCAAACTTTTATGAGGACTGAACTTTATATACAAAATGTGATAGCTGCACAGGTTATCGTAATCTCTGTACTCTTTTACAGTCTTATGATGAGCAGACCTCAGTATCCAATGTTTTCACCCTTTTCTTATATTATTTTTAACTTATGAAAAGAAAAAAAAGGGGACAGCCCGGTACACTAAGCTCCTGCTATGCGCGGGGTCCGGGGAAGAGCCGGGCCACAAGGGTCTATTATACGCAGTCTTACCTTGCATTTCTGGTAGAGGCTGATTCCACGGCTCGAACCTGTGACCTCCTGGTCACATGGCAGCAACTTTACCAGTTAGCTTATGCCAGTGATGAAAGCTTGGAAATCAGTTTCATTGACTTCTAGTTAAAAAATCATTTAATAAGTAAACAGTCAGTATACATCAGACGACATACGTATAGCAGGTCTATATGTGATTATAAGGAGAGCAACTAAGTTGTACATCAGTTTCGTTGCCTTCTAGTTAAAAAATTATTATAATAAGTAAACAGTCCGTATTCATCAGATGACATACGTATTGCAGGTCTATGTGATTATAAGGAGAGCAAACTAAGTTGTATACTAGCATTGTTGCCTGGAAAACAAGACTGGCACACACTGTAATCTCTTTTATTGTACTAAGCTGTTAAGCTGATACAGGCTGCGTCATTTATGCATCTGGCCTTCTGAATTTAGTCACTCTGCATTAAAATGTTTGAATTGCTTCATGAACTTGACATGTGCATAAGAACTTAAAAATCACTTTTTTCCCATGGTTAATGAAGGGATCACTGATTGTTCAACACTCAGGTAATGTCAATGTTGAAAGAGCGTTTGGAAATTCCGAAGGACAAAAATCTCCCTGCAGTTGATTACAGGTTTTTTCTTTCTGAATTTCAAGTCACCTGGATATGTTTTTCTCAGGATTGCTTTTTTGCACCAATATTTTGTACGCTTCTTTTCATGAGATGATAACTGATGATCTTTATTAATTGAAGTGAAGATGCAATATTTTGGAATTTGGCCTTGCACTTTACTGTTGTTTTTGGACTAATCTATGGCCCTTGAATTTTCAGAGAGTATCAAAACTAAGGAAAAAAAAAATTATTTTGTGTAATTCTGCAAAATATCCCGGGTGGCTAATGCGAAACAGGGAATGTGTCATAACTTGTTTCAGTTCGACTTGGGATTTCGTCAACCATCAATTGTCTTGTATTTTAGTATCCTCTCTCCAATTTCTTTGTTTCATCTGTTATGCACTGTTTTCCTTTTGTATGTAAAATCATTTTGTGGTTATTATATTCTGACACAGGAAGTATTCAAGAGTTAGGAGATGGACTCTCGGTCTGACAGGTTATAAAGAACAGATAGCTGTGATTCGAGCCTCTGGGAGCATTAGTCGCACACGTGGTCGATTTAGTTCATCCAGTTCAGGAATTGTAGCAGAGCAGTTAATTGAGAAAATTCGTAGTGTACGAGGTATGAATTGTCCTTATATGTGCACAATTCGTGAATGATTCATTAAGTGGTCAAGATATGTGAAAGCAGTTGGTCGTTACACTGTGAATCTTGATTAGCCATAAATCATGAATACCAAGTTTTTAGTCTCAAAAAGACACTTTGCAGAAACAAGGCATTATCCACTCTGTACAGTTCTGGCTACCTTTCTTTTTCCTTTTCCAAGTTGCTTAGTGCTCTTTCCTCTCTTTCCAACTTAGATTCTGGAGAGACTTGTATTTTTGAAAAGCGTTTGCTAAGTATGAAGGAGAAAAATTCTTGCTAGGACTGTGTTAGTGTTATGTTGCTGGTGGTGTACTTGAATAATCAAAGTGCTACACTTCATATTCAATGTTTCTTCTTTTTCAGACTTTAATAGCGAACATTAAAGATGGTAAGGCCAGCTTGGTTATTGTTAGTTGCAGGCTTATTTTTTCATGTAATGCATGAAGTTGCTATCAGCTATGAAAGTTATTTTAGAAGAACGGTATGTAAAATTTTCAGTTAACCAGTAGGAAGTCATTGAAGATGTCCTTTAAGGCTCATGCATGTGTTGTAAACTGTATGCATGCTTGCTTTGAGCCGAGGGTCTATCGGAAACAGCCTCTCTGCCTGCACAGAGGTAAGGTTGTGTACATACTACCCTCCCCAGACCCCACTTGTGGGATTATATTGGGTATATTGTTGGTGTTGTTGTTGCATGTGTTGTAAACTCTCTAAATTTCAGCAGATTTGGATGCTTCATATGTGCTGATTTAAGATGAATGGAGGAAAAAGCTTGATAGGTTTAGGTGATTGCGTGCTTATTTTGGCTTCTTTCTTCTGGTTGTCAATTTTTCTTCTTTCTTTTGTATTTCATGTGTGGCTATGCTATGCAGAGTCGAAAAGGTATAAAGCTGTCGTCCTTCGAATTGATAGTCCTGGAGGTGATGCTCTTGCTTCTGATCTGTAAGTCCTGTTATATGGTGGCTCTTTCCTTTGTATGCACTATGTTAGGAGCCACTTGGCTGTCTGAATTTTTTCCTTTTAACTTCTATAATGTTGCATTTACATTCTTCCACGTTATTTATAGGTAAAGTAAAACATAAAATTCTAACTGCTTAATTGATTGTCTTGTACAATGGAAATCTCAACTCTTATTTTCATTTAATCTCCTGTTTTGAGTTCTTCGATGATACTTCAGCTAAATCACTTGTAAAATAGAATGCGATATTGTTCTTTCCCTGTCTTCAAAGCAGTCAATATATTTTCCACATATAAAAGCTTCTGTACTAGACTCTGACGAACATTATTTTATTTTTTTCAAACCAAGTTCTCTGTTGATTGATTAGGATGCTTTTCTCCACAGAATGTGGAGAGAAATCAGACTGCTGGCAGAAACTAAGCCTGTTATAGCATCCATGGCTGATGTGGCAGCCAGTGGAGGATATTATATGGCAATGGCTACACAAGCTATTGTGGCGGAGAACCTTACACTGACAGGTTCAATAGGTGTGGTGACAGGTAAATCTAGCTACTAGAATAAATTCTAGCTCCTTACAAACTGTGATTGAGTGGTAAACTAAATTTGGGGGCTAATGTCAGAGCTGGAATAATTTTCCGGAGAACCTTATGCTTCACAAGTGTGTGTATTGTGTTTTAGAACTTGTACTTTGCACTAGCAAGATAATTTCTGTGCAGGTGTTATCAGCTCCCAAAAGTTTGTAACTGATTAAGAGATATCTTGAAATGCAGTTACTGTTGCATATCTTGATCCAAACATAATTCAGGAACTGAAATGTAGGTAAAATTTACCATCCACCTTTAAGAATTAGAAATAGCTCCCAACCGCTTGAAAGCATCACCATGCAGGTGAACTATGTTCCTTGTGATGGTTAGACAGTGTTTTTACTTAAGTTGGAATGACCTGTGCTCTTCAGAAACTCCTTAATCCTAGTTGTTTTAGAAGAAAAATCATAAAACCCAAGTGGTTACTATGCAATCAATATTGCTTTTGTTTGTCCGTAATCCTTTGGCCTTATAATTTTATGTTTGTTGAATTATTCATCATTGGTTGGTCCGACTGCTTTTAGTTTGCCTGTAGGTTACCTAATAAACTTTTACGTTATCAAAAAAAAAAAGTAAAAAGTAAAACGTTTCGCCTGTCTGTGGGCTGAGGGATACACTTTAGGTGCAGAAGCATGGATTGGTAATTGATTGACCAGATTTATTTATATCTCCAAATTGACGAAGGTTTCTACTCATGTTTGACCCAGTTGAACTATCCACACTCTTTTACCTTTTAAAGGAAGATATTGAGGGGAAAAAATCTCGATCTTGAATGCCAGGTGTTTTTCCTTGTGTGGTACGACTTGTTTGAAGCCTTTGTGCTGCTTTGCTAGAATGCATGATTGGTCAATGATTCCTTGCATAAACGTATCTTGTCTAATTCCAAGATCTTTCTTATACCATCTTCACCAGAGGATAAATCAAAATCAAAATGTTCTCTCTTTGAATGCCACCATTGGAGTAATCAGTCCCAACTACTACGAAAACTCAGCGCACATGCCTGAACTGTATGTTCTTGTATCAGATTTGGTGCTCTTACAAGGTTGATTGTACTGATATTCTTTTTACGCCCTCCAGATTAGGCCATAGAACTGGATTATGAGGGGGCAAGATTCCTTTAATTGTCCCAATAACCTGTCTTTCACAATGTATACCAAATTTAGTTCCATTACTTACCATCTCAGAATATATTGAAGTGTAACTAGACAGTTCAATATTGAATGGAATAGCCGAATTTTCCAAGCTTTGGATTTGGAGAAAGTATTTGGAGTTAAGTCCAGCTATAGAATTGAATATCATTGGGGTTGAGGCTATGTTAGTGCTTTGTCCATATAACAAGCCTGATGTGGAAATTAAAGATCTTTTCCACAAAATAACATGAATAACCAAAATTTAAGACGGAGGATAAATTGTATCTTACAGATAGGTTATGTAGTTAGAGATGGTAGTTCATCAGGTAGAGGCTAGAGCCCTTGCGTTCTATCTCTTCACTAGGCCCTCCCCTTCCCTTATCCCAACTCGGTCATTCACCCACCCGTTGCTCCCAATTCTTTTAGAACACCGGCAATTTGAGCTTGGACTGATAGTAGTAAAATTGGGATGACAGCTCTCTTTGGTGCGTGTGTGTGGGTGGGTGGGTTGGTGGGTGTGCCTGCAAGTAGAGGAGATTGGGTCGAGTTGATGTGTGTCTTGATGAAACCTTTAAGATTTTGGCTTGTGGGAGCGGCAATTATGCCGGTCCATGTATTTGCTTCCACACGAGTGCCAATCCTTTATAGTTTCAATTTTTCCGTTCCTTGGTTCCTCTGGGTTTTCTTTTGCTATCCATGCTGTTCTGGAAGTCTTTCGTTCTGCCATTGCATGCCCCCTTATATTTAGTTTTTTTGGTCCTTAATATTCACAAAATTTACTTGTACGAGGTCTTCCATAGTGGAATTGGCTTTATGAGCTAGGACTCCCATTTCACATATATCCCCGTGCAAAATATTTAATCAGATTCAATTTGTACAATAGACCCTTATGGTCCGGCCCTTCCCCGGACCCCGCGCATAGCGGGAGCTTAGTGCACCGGGCTGCCCTTTTTTATTCAATTTGTTAAAATTACATGTTTTTGGCAGGAAAATTCAACTTGGGAAATTTATATGATAAAATTGGCTTCAATAAGGAGATAATATCAAGGGGAAGATATGCAGAGCTTACTGCTGCTGAACAGCGACCATTCAGGTGAAATGTTTTTGTCTTCCTTGAGGTTTATACATGTCACTGGGTGGTCCGTTACACCTTGAGCCCCATTTATAAGAACATAACCTTAAGTTGTGAATTTCACATTACATCCTTCTGTTCTTACTGCTTCATTTTTGGGGCCTCTATAAGCCAGCTGAAGTTTGCTCGTAAAAAGTAGGATAGCTTCTGTACTTACGCAGAACACCAAAATCAGAACTTCCACTTCTGTACTTAGTGGATTTTGGGCTTAGCTGCTGTTTTAAATGCCTACAAGTGGAAATCCAACTATTGTCTTGTATTTTGATTTAGTATATTATCAGATAGAACTTCATCTGCAGGCCTGAGGAAGCAGAGCTGTTTGCCAAATCTGCACAGCATGCATATACCCAATTCCGGGACAAGGCTGCCCTTTCAAGATCAATGACGGTATGCTACTGGTGAAGAGTACAGCTTAGAATGGAACAGTCATTACTTTACTTATCAGTTGATTGAAAATACGAAGCACTGCATTTTAGGTGGATAAAATGGAGGAGGTTGCACAAGGGAGAGTCTGGACTGGAAATGATGCTCTTTCACGAGGTCTAGTTGATGCTATTGGTGGTCTCTCTCGTGCTGTCGCAATTGCAAAACAGAAGGCCAATATACCTCAGGAAAAACAGGTGCGTCATAAGCAAATCTTATTTTGCTGTTAAAAACAGCTATTTCAAGTTTGAGCACATAGATTGTAGTGCTGTGCTTTCTGAAGCATGATTCTCAAGTCTTTATTTCAGTTTATGCTTGGATCTTTGTCAACTGTCATTCTAGTTAAATTCTGGAACTCTCTTGGGAACCTCAGGATCTGAATCTCTTGATCTTCTGATAGAGAGCTGGTGAATTTTCCTGCCAAAACCGGGTTCTAGATCATCTCAGTTGCTTCTTTCGTCAATAGTTGCCACAACTTTGAGATAAAAAGAAGTCAAATATGTAGCAAAAGGGAATAGCTTGACAAAGGCTCACTACATCCTAGGCGCGGTCTGCTCTAACTTTCTTGCAAGATACTTTAATGTGTGCTGCTGTCAAGCAGCAGATTTAGCTTTGTTTTTGTGCACTCTGAGCCACCTTTCATTGTTGCCAAATTATAATGGGTTTAAGAATAGCATTTTTTGGAAATCTAAACAATAGTTATTGTTTTCATTAGTCAGATGCAAACCATGTATGGTACTCATCCCTTTGTCTTTTATTCAGAAAAAGAAATACATGATGATGTAGGAACTGAGTTTTTGGAAGATTCCTGGATATGGAATTGAAATACTTGTAAGGATCATGATGTGACCACTGCACATTCTTTGTGCTTCTTTTGTTTATAAAATGCTCACTTATAAAATAAAAAAAAAGAAATACATGATGATGTTTGATGCCCAACTAGCTTAGTGTTACTAATACCTAACAAAGCTTGGAAGCTGCTTTCTACTATTAGTAACTGAAAATGTAGTCAGAGGCGAGAAACTTTGACTGGAAAAGCAAAAATGTTTTTTGAAGAGTAGAAACTATCTCCTGAGTTAATTTCCTCCTTTTTTGTTTGTACTTTCATCTCTTTCTCTATCACTTTGATGTAATGGAGATGAATTTCTTAGTCTTCCTAATAAGTTGTTAAAACTGCAGGTTTCTGTTGTTGAGCTGTCAAGGCCATCCGCATCCTTACCGGAAGTTTTAAGCGGCATAGGGAGCTCTTTAGTCGGAGCAGATAGAACTTTAAAAGAGTTGCTAAATGATGTGGCATCATCTGATGGAATCCAAGCCCGTATGGACGGGGTCATGTTTGAGAAACTAGGAGGAGCCGCTTACACCAATCCCTTGTTTATGTTGATAAAAGATTGCCTCAGTTCCTTCTAAAGTCGAAAGGATGTATACTGTTGCATCAGAAATATCTCATTTTATTATTTGCTGGAGCAAAAAATTCATACATGGATCTTACTTTTTGTTGGGGATGCGGAATTTGGGAACATTGGTGCTCTGCTTCCTTTCAGAAAGTAAAAGTTACAGGTAATTGTCTCTTTTCTTGTATTCAGTATAGAACTTTCAATTTGTTTTAATTTTAGGTCTTGGGTTGGTGAGAAAATGAAACAAATGGATAGGTGGTAAAGAATAGATTGATTCTTGTAAAAAGTTATTTGATTTATTTACCTCAAAGTTACAGTAATTTCAGGTTCATATATATAAGTTCTTGCTGATTTGAATTCAGGGTGAGCAGTTTCTGGGTTTCAAATTCCTTATCACAAATAAGGGTATGGAGGTACCACTCGAATCGGGAGTTATCTTGACATTCTGATATAACTACATGTTACTTTGAAAAGGTTCCACTTTGTACTTCCTGTTCCGTATGATTCATCATGTCCGTACAGACAGATCCATGGGGTGCAAACGGCCATGTGTAAAGTACAGATGTATTACGATTTAGTAGTGTATTATTCTCATTTTTCTCTTTCTCCAACTTCTTTCTTTTGGTAAATGCAGTAGCGGAACTATTGTTGCTTCAAAGCTCAAGCTTTATGCATACAGGTACAGCTCGGTTTTATAGTATAACTAGTAAATAGCGCGTTCATCAAAAGAGAATAAAAATATGGGTAAATAGTAATTGTTAGAATTATTATCGTAAGAAATCAGTCTTTACTAATCAAAGAAGTAGCCTAAAAGAGAAAAAAAATAATTTGTAACCTCATGGTCTTGCGATAACTCATGGAGTGAAACTTTTAAAGTCATCCTTAAGATTCACCGTTAAAATATAATTCTTATTCTAGTATTTTATCTCTAGGAATAATATTAAATTTTATGTAATAGCAAAAGTGAGTTTCAACAAAATTTATTCTCAAGAGCATACAATGAATGATAGTGGAAGTAGTACTATTTGATCAGTTCAGTTTCATCTTTTGCATATTCTTGTCGTAACACAATTAATTATTCCTTTTTTCTTTTTGCTTTTATCATCACTAATCCCTATCAACAACCAAGAAGTTCTCCATTGCAGACAATAATCCAACACAACTTTTAGTTTTCTCTCTCTTTAAAATATATGTATATATATATATATATATATATATACACACACACAAACACACACACTTATAGTTTGTATTTTATGATATTATGTTAAGCAAAAATAAAATACTTCCCCTCCATAACGAAAATAAGAAGTCAAATTGTATCTGAGGTAATAAAGGAATTTTCATATTTGAAGAAGTTTACCCACATATGAAATAGTATTTGGTAAAGCATGAGTCAAGTAGCAGTAAACCCGGAAAGCAAAGCCTTAGTCAATTGTTAGTAGGTAAAAAAGTAAACGAATCTGCATATATATGATATGTTATGTAAGATCACAAACAGAGCAATTGCAATGCATAACCTGTTAGCCAAATTCCTTAAGCTAATATCTGTAAGAACAAAAAAAAAATCCCCGTAAGCCTCATCTTTAATCTTTTAGTATTTTATAAACTTAAAAACTAAGATATAAATAAAATATGTTTAAAATTTTATAATATTCAATTAATTAAAAATAGTATAGGAATACATACATACATTGCAGACAAAAATCCAACACAACTTTCAGTGCACTAATAATTTTAATTTTATGATATTATGTTAAACATATGATATAAAATTATTTAAAAAAATGAAAGATAGAACCAATTAAAAATTTGAAAAGACCAAAACAGTAAAAACATACAATCATGAAATAGAAAGATGAAGAATAAAAATTTAACAAAAACATACATGTGGTTTCATGGGTGAGCACCATCTGGTGATATAGAGAAGTGAAATTGGAAGGATGCCAAATTATTTGTTGCTCGTAATACGCAAGGCATGAGAATTCTTCTCAGTTAGGTATGTTCTTTGTGCTATTTATGAAGAAGAAAGTCCCCTACTGGAAAATGGGATGGAGAGAAGGATTAGTTCCAACTTTTAATTACTATCATTATTTCCATGATGGTAACGTTCCATCTACTGCAACTGTTGCATTGGTTTTTTTTTTTTTTTTTTTTTTTT